ATCCCACCAAATATTCAAAGAATAGCAAATTGTTAAATTACCCCAAAAAGTTAAAGAGCAGCAAATTCTTCCAAATTCATTCTACAAAGCAAGCATTACCCTCCTGCTATAAAAACCAAAGATTGAAAAAAGAAAATATTACAGGCCAATATAGTTTAGGGACAGATGCAAAACTCCTCAACAAATACTCCCAAATATAATCTAATAGCTTATTAAAAAGATTATGCATCATAACCAAATAAATTTTATCTTAGTGATACAATGATAGTTCAATATGGACTACTGAACATTATACACCACATCAAAAAATGAAGGGCTGGGAAGGTGGCTCAGTGGTAGAGTGCTTGCCTTGCATGCATGAGGCCCTGGGTTCGATTCCTCAGTACCACATAAGCAGAAAAAGCCAGAAATGGCACTGTGGCTCAACTGGTAGAGCGCCAGGCTTGAGCTGAAGAGCTGAAGGACAGCTCCCAGGCCCAGAGTTCAGGCCCACAACCAAGAAAAAAAGAAGGAAAAAGTTAACGCCAGAAGCTGGTAGTTCATGCTTGTAATCCTAGTTACTCTGGAGGCTAAGATCTAAAGATTACAGATTGAAGCCAGACCAGGCAGAAAAGTCCCCAAGAGACTCTTATCTCTAATTAACCACTGGAAAATGGGAAGTGGTACTGTGGCTCAAAGTGCTAGCCTTTGAGCACAAAGAAACTCAGAGACAGCGCCCAGGCTCTGAGTTCGAGCCCCACAACTGGAAGGAAAAAAAAATCTTTACTGTCTTCAATTGTTTTAGAAAAACTATTTTATGGGATGGGAAGGGGAAACAAAGGAGGAGGCAACAATGCTTGATAAGAAATGTACTCATTATCTTGCCCATGTAATTGTAACCCCTCTGTACGGTATTTTCACAATAAAAAAAAAAAAAGAGTCACACTTTAAAGTTGATCTTACAGAAGTTGAGAGGCTGGGAGAATATGAAGAAAGGAGGGGTCAGGAGAGGTATTAAAGATATAGATAACAGGTAGAAGTTGTGTATGCTACTGCACAAGGAGGTGATGATAGATAACAATTAAGTACTGTATATTTCAAAAGCTAGATAGATTTTGAATATTTTCATCATAAAGAAATGATGAATTTTTTTATTTTTTTATTTTTTTGTGAACATTCTGTACAGAGGGGTTACAATTACATGGGCAGGATAGTGCATATTTCTTATCAAGCATTGCAGCCTCCTCCTTTGTTCACCCTTCACATCCCTTCCCAGCCTCCCCCTCACCCCCCACCTAATCCTCCCCCCTCCCCCCCTAAGAAATGATGAATATTTAAAGACAGATGTCAACCCTAGTTTGAACAGTATACAATATGGATAAATGTATATAAATAGTACCTCACATAAACATGTACAGCATCTGTTTTTGTGTTATCAGTTAAAAAATAAATGTAAGATTTCATTATGTAGTTCAGTGGTAGAGCAGTTGCCTATGATGCTTTAGCCCTATATTCAGTCCTTAGCACAAACTAATTAAAAAATTTAATTTAAATAAAAGCAAGTTAGAAGTAATGATCAAATAAAGAATATGAAAGTATGCTCAATTACCGGGCGCCAGTGGCTCACGCCTGTAATCCTAGCTACTCAGGAGGCTGAGATCTGAGGATCACGTTTCAAAGCCAGCCTGGGCAGTAAAGTCTGTGAGACTCTTATCTCCAATAAACCACCAGAAAACCGGAAGTGGTGCTGTGGCTCAAGTGGTAGAGTGTTAGCCTTGAGTCGAAGAACTGAGGGACAGTGCTCAGGCCCAGAGTTCAAGCCCCACGACCGACAAAAAAAAAAAAAAAAGAAAGAAAGTAGGCTCAAAACTACTTTTTAAACTTTAAGTAATTAAATGAAGAAAAAGATTGAGCATAATAAAATAGTATAGTAGCTCACCTAATCCTAGCCACATGAGAGGCTAAGTTCATAAGTTCAAGGCCAGTAAAAAGTACTTGGCAGGGCTGGGAAGGTGGCTCAGTGGTAGAGCGCTTGCCTTGCATGCACGAGGCCCTGGGTTCAATTCCTCAGCACCACATAAGCAAAAAGAAAAAAGCCGGAAGTGGCGCTGTGGCTCAAGTAGTAGAGCGCTAGCCTTGAGCTGAAGAGCTAAGGGGCAGTGCCCAGGCCCAGAGCTCAGGTCCCACGACCGGACCCAAAAAAAAAGTACTTGGCAAGTTCAGAGCCAGACTGAGCTACATAGCAAGATCTTATTTTTTAAAAAACACTGGGAAACCTGTCTACAAAAATATGTTACTATTTCCTGATACTGTTTTTCCAGTGTGACATACAAATGCCCGCCCCAGTTGCAACAGTCTTGTTACACTCCTTCTTGGAATGTGACTCTCCCCCCAATTCCTGTACTCCATGTAACACTTTCACAACACCTCTTCTCAGAACTGACCCTACCCCCAAATTCCCACAGCCTATGTAATGGGACCTATGTGACTGCCCATGTGACCCACGTGACTGCCCCCTAAAATTTTGCTTAAATTCAGTCCACACCTGTCCTTGGTTGCTGCCTCCATTCCTGCTGGAGCAGCCCTGCAGGTCTACCCCTAATAAAGCCTTGAGCTCATTAAAAAAAAAAAACAACACTGGGCACCCATGGCTCATGCTTGTAATTCTTGCTAACTAGGCAGAGATCTAAGGATCACAGTTTGAAGCCAGCCAAGGCAGGAAGTCTGTGACATTCTCATCTCCAACTAGTCACCAAAAAGCTGAAAGCTAAGCTGGGGTTCAAGTGGTAGAACACTAGCCTTGAACAAAAAAGGCCAGACCCTGAGTTCCAGCCCCAAGACCAAAACAAAACAACAACAATAAAACAGCCATGGCTTAGCACATACAGTGTCCTTGGTTTGAGTCTTATCATTTAAAAAAAAAAGTATTTAGGGGCTGAGAAGGTGGCTAGTGGTAGAGCGCTTGCCTTGCATGCATGAGGCCCTGGGTTCAATTCCTCAGCACCACATGAGCAAAAAGAAAAAATCTGGAAGTGGCGCTGTGGCTCAAGTGGTAGAGCACTAGCCTTGAGCTGAAGAGCTGAGGGACAGCGCCCAAGCCCAGAGTTCAGTCCCCACGACTGAACCTCCCCCCCAAAAAAAAGTATTTAAATAACTGAGACAAATTATTTGTAACTTATTATCAATCCAGAAATTTCTGTGTTGGTTTCTACAAATGATCTAATAAAGCTGTCACATGAATTTGTAGGAGGAAAGACACAATCACACCTTAAAACTACAGATCTGATCTTCAAACTCTACCATACTTAAAAAGAAACAGAGCTGTGGGCATAGCTCACATGCTAGTGTCTACCTAGCACACAGAAGGCCCTGAGTTTGAATCCCAGTACTACCACCACCAAAAAAAAAAAAAAAAAAAGACATAAAAAGATTTGGTGAAAAGAAAAGGTCTTCATCACAACACAGGATGATTCAAGCTGCTACCCCAAATACAACCTCTTGGCTGGCACTAAAAGCCCAAGTATATGGTAGAATCATACTGGCCTTTTTTGGGTGTGGGGAGTCAGTCCTGGGGCTTGAACTTCAGGGCCTGGGCACTATCCTTGAGCTTCTTTTGCTCAAGGCTAGCACTCTATCACTCTACCACTTGAGCCACAGCTCCACTCTGGCCTTTTCAGTACTGAGGAATTGAAACCAGGGCTGCATGCATGTGAGGCAAGCACTCTACAACTAAGCCACATTCCCAGCTCGATAATGGCCTTTTTTAATACAGTGTCTGAATAAAAAAATCTACATCACAACATATGAGGAGTTAAAAAAACTATGACCTCTAATCCATCTACATTATACATTGTGATAGCCAGGCATCAGTGGCTCATGCCTGCAATCCTAGCTACTCAGGAGGCTGAGATCTGAGGATCATGGTTCAAAGCAAGCCCAGGCAGGAAACTCCATGAGACTCTTATCTCCAATAAACCAATCAGAAAACCAGAAATGGCGCTGTGGCTCAAGTGATAGAGCGCTGTCTTGAGCTGAAGAGCTGAGGGACAGTGCCCAGGCCCAAAGTTCAAGGCCCACGACTGAAAAAAAACAAAACAAAACACTGTGACAAATTTCATGGGAATGGAAGAAAAAAAGTTTTTATCACACTTGTGGGTTTTTAAAGTATTTGATGTATTTAAAATGTACCATGTGATTTTTTTGTTTCTTTTTGTTCTTCTCCCATGGTATAACCCCTTGTTTTCACTGTATTTGATTCTGGTACCCTGCATCTTGTATATACATTTTTTTAACTTGGGAGGGGAAGGGAAATAACAAATTGCTGAAATAAGGATACAGGTCGACCCATTTTAACAATGAGATGTACAAGACACTATGTTGAAAAGGAACTTTACAATTTGGGGAGAGGAGGGAGGAGGTGAGGAGATGGGGGGGAGGGATGGTAGGGGAAAAACAGAGGAGGTAACAATGCTCAATAGGAAATGTACTCATGTAACTGTAACCCCTCTGTACAATATTTTTACAATAAAAATATACAAAAAATAATAAAAGTATTTGAAAGTTCCTCATTGGGATTAGAGGCATGGCTCAGTTGATAAAGTATCAAGCTCCAAGTTCAAGTTCCAATCTTGGACCAAGCAGAAAGAAAAGCTGCTCATAAGCTTTAACAAAATATAAATTAAAGATATTATTTAATTTAATGACACTTACATGGGAAAAAATCTAAATTTTCCAAAAGTACACTAAGCACCTAAAAACCTAAATTTAAGTTTTATCAGTCATAAAATATTTAAAGTATATAAAACCTCAACACTACGAAAAGGCCAGTATTGAAAAATGTCAGTAATTTTTTTAATATACACTGAAGAATGATCACTGGGTACCTGCTTTAAAGCATCTCAGAAAAACAAGAAAGAAGAAACAGATGAAGCATGAACAGTAGAACACCTTAGTAACTACTAAATATAAGGTTCATTTATACTAGACTGTTAATGTCTCAAAATAATTTTTTAAATGCTCACATCCACATCTGGTCTTTTTAGCAAATCTTCCACTTTAGCAACATCTCCATTGGCAGCAGCCTTAACTAATTCTTCATTGAGGTCGCCAGATTCTTGGGTTTCAAATAACTTCTTCAGGAGTTGGGAGAGTCTTTCTGCAAAGCACCAAATAAAGCTACTAATATAGGATGGTCTCAAACCTTAAATATTGTAATGTCTTTATATTTCATTATTTCTATCACTTATTTTTGTACAAGGTTCTACAGTATAGAGTAACTACTCATTCTGTACTATATCATGTTGCATTAAAATTGAGCCCATAAGTATTGTTTTTTCCAATTCATGTATTTCAAGTACAACTGCAAGAAAAGTAGAGTTACATACTAAAAAACAACAAGGTTTAGAAGTCATACTCAAAGATGATATAAATTTTCATCACAATACCAACTTCCTTTTTGATTTAAGCATACCATAGAAACTCTCAGAGATCCCACAATATCAGTGGTTAGGATTCTAAAATAATATAATCTTTGTGTATCTGGAAATATGGCTTATGGGAAATCAATTTTTAGTTAAAAATGAGTATCTAAATGATAGCATGCTTTATTAAATATCATTAAGTATCAACTGGTTTTATGACAAGATAAGAACAAAGCTGAATACACAAAATTTTCAGAAGATTTCTTTTATTTAATAATTTTTATTTCTAGCCGGGTGTCAGTGGCTCACACATGTAATCCTAGCTACTCAGGAGGCTGAGATCTGAGGAACACAGTTCAAAGCCAGCCTGGGGAGGAAACTCCATGAGACTCTTACCTTCAATTAACCTCTAGAAAACCAGAAGTGGCGCTGTGGCTCAGGCAGTAGAGCACTTGCCTTGAGCTAAAGAGCGCAGGGACAGCGCCCAAGCCCAGAGTTCAAGCCCCACGACCGACAAAAAAAAAAAAATATTTCTAATCAATTCCAGAGGTTGAAAGTTCTACTATTTATTTCTTGAAGTAGTTATTAGAAAGCAGAGATATCACAAATTGCAGTGCAAATAAATCACAAAGTAGACAAAGCCCACATTATTTGAGAGCAGGATATTAATTATCCTCCACTCTTTTATTTTGTCCGTTGTCAATGTATTGTAGTCCTGTCTAACCTCAAGATAACAATAAATATTATTTCATTTTAAGTAACTAGCAAATTACTCTTCTGCAAAGAGATTTAAAGAAGTAGAAAGCTATAAACAAAATAGAGAAATCTAATGTTTTTCTTTTGTATCTTTCCAAAAGATACAAGTTATGATTCTACATTAATGGATAACAACAATGTCCACATGCTATAATATCATGTATGTACAGTTGAACCACAAGAAGGACTTTGGGAACAATTCTACCCAAGGACCCAGCAAGGTGACATTTGAGCATGATTTCCAACTTGGAAATCGTAACTCTTATTAAGTGGTAAGAAGAAAAAGATACGTAAAATATATATGAAGAAAGACATTTGCTAGCAATAATGTTGGAAATAAAGACAAAGCAAAGTAGCTAAGCAGGTAATGTCTTTCACAGAAAAGAAATATTCTGACTATGGAATGGAATGGAATGAGAGAGGGAGTGGTTTACAAGGTGGTCAATATTTAAGAGAGTCTATATAATCTGAAAGAAAGCCAACAAGATTATCTGTTTCTAAGAATAGGAAAATTAGCAAAGGTTGTGATATAAACAATACAAAAAGAGATTAAAAATATAAAACATACCACCAGATGCATTGCTAATGGCTGATCCTGCAGATGCCACCTTGGAAACTGCTGCTGGATTATATGTCCAAGATGTTCCACAAACTTCTACTTTTAAATCACTGTCTGAATAAATCTGTTGTACTCGGCCAACTTTACCTAAAGTCTTAAAAAAAATTAAGATTCATATTTCCAAGTGTAAGGAATATTGCCATAAAACCAACCATCAATTTTTAAGTGTTAGTTTTACTTCTTAGTTTTAGAGCATTTCAAAGATTTAGCCATATTCAAATAGGTTATTTGTTGGTTATAAACTTTGAAGATTACCTTTTAAAATTCTTTTAATATACTACAAGTATGATAAAGCCTACCTTATTCATAAAAGTTAACAGAATTCATTTTCATATTCAACACTTTTTTGAACACACAGATATACCTTGAGAACTTGCAACTAAAAGTAGTCTACAAGCCATGATCGATATGGCCTCAAAAAGGAAATCTGATTTCTACCAAAAACAAAAAAACACTACCTTAAATGGTTTATATTTACTTCTATGTTAAAATTGTTTTTAGAATTACCTTGTTTCCAAATCAAAAGTTAGATATAGAGTATTATGCATAAATGGACCAGATTGAGTCATGTCTGCAATCCCAGCTGTTCACAGAGAGAGATGAGAGGACACAGTTTGAGGCCAACCAGAGCAAAAAAGTTCATGGGGCCTTGGGCATGCTGAAGCTAGCCACAGTAAGGCAGAGGAAGATATGATAACTGGGTTCCCAGACTAGCCTGGTCAAAAATCACAAGCACTACTTAGGCACCAAAAGCTCACACCTGTAATCCTAGCTACTTAGAGGATGTGATCCAGAGGTCTGCAGTTCAAAGCCAGCCTGAGTAAAATAGTCCAAAAGACTATGACAAGCATGAGACAAACTTCAAATCCTAGTTTATAGGAAAAAAAAAAAGAAACATAATTTTTTGACCTATAAGATTTCCTTTTTTTGGTGGGGGGGGGGGGGGGGGGTCCAGTCGTGGGGCCTGAACTCTGGGCCTGGGCACTGTTCCTCAGCTCTTCAGCTCAAGGCTAGCGCTCTACCACTTGAGTCACAGAGCCATTTCCAGCTTTTTTCTTTTTGCTTATGTGGTGCTGAGGAATCAAACCCAGGGCCTCATGCATGCAAGGTAAGCGCTCTACCACTGAGCCACCTTCCCAGCCCCCTATAAGATTTCTTATGATCTGAATTTGGGTAAGTGATACAGTTGAACAGGTTCCTCTGTCCTTTGTATATAGCAAGAATCAAGGAAGCTGTTTGTTCGTTTAACCTGACTCTAGAAATCGCTAGTAGCTTCTTTGCTATCTAGTATGAGTTCTTGTCTTCACTTCCTAAAGAGCTACAATTGGTCGCTTTTCCAAAGCACCTTGATTCTTTACTAAGGGCAGGGCAGTCCATAACTTGGGCAATGAATACTCTCACTAGAATTTTGGTTTCTACGTCTTTTCATGGACAGAGTGGGAAATTAAAAAAAAAATACTAATTTTGTTAAGATAAAATAAGTTCAACCATTTCCAAATTAAATTGTTGATTATATCTGATTCTCCTTTCCCAAACTGTAATTTAAAGTCAATGGGATAACAGAATTACCACATAATTAAGCTTCTATTGTTCTAATGGTTATATTTACACTAATATCTATACATAAGTAAATATATATGTGTATATACATAATCACATGTATATGTGTAATCTCACTTCTTCATTTTGTCCTTGTTCTTAAAATACATAGTAATATACTTTGTGAGTACATATAAGTATTCATAAATGCCTGTAATTTCAGCCATGATTAAAGGCCAGCCTAGGCAAGAAGTTGTCAGCCTGGGCACTGATGAGACAAACTTCAAATCCTAGTTACCTACAAATCTAGCTACTCAAGAGACTGAGATCTGAGGATCCTGGTTCAAAGCCGTCCAGGCAAACAACCAAGACACTTATCTCCAATCAAAGTCAAGTAAGCGGAGTATAGTGGTGCACACATGGACTCCTAAGCCCTGTAGAAGGTATACTAGAAAGATCTCCAGTCAAGCAGCAAAATGCCAGACTGGAGATGAGGCTCAAATTGTCAAGTGACAGTGTGAGGCCCTGAGTCCAAGCCCTGGAACCAGTACAAAAAAATTTTTTAATACACAGGAATCTATAAATCTGATGGTTTCCTAGTACGGGCAATATTAAAATTAGTCATTCATGTGTCTCCTTTATCCTCTTAATATTTTCACTTAGGAGTATTTCATGACAGTTATCGTAACTAAAAAGCAAACAAACAGCCTAGTAAGCTTTTTTTATGCTCTTTCTATTCCATTTTTGATGGTCACACTTTACATTGTTAGAACACATAATCATACTATCCCTTTTCCTTTCGTCGTGTGTGTGTGTGTGTGTGTGTGTGTGTGTGTGTGTGTGTGTGTGCGCGCGCGCGCGCAGGTACAGAGGCTTGAACTCAGGATCTGGAGCTCCTATGTTTAAAAATGTTTGGCTTGTCACTCACAGCTTGTACTCTAGCACTTGAACCACATCTGCAGTGTGAGTAATTGGAAATAGAGACTCTTGAACTTTTCTGCCTGGCCAACCTCCTCAGATTTCATCTGTCTAGATACTTCCTGAATGAGCCACTAGTGCCTGGCCTATTTCTTCTCCTTTGTAACTATTTAATCTTAATTCAACTAATAAATAAATACATATTTCATGATCATCTGATATCTCTCTACTTATCTTGGTTGCCTGAAACTCATTCTTTAGTAGACTACTCAGAAAGGACCAAGATTCTCTACTTTCTTTTATATTCATAACAATTTGGAGCCTTCATATTTGAGTATCACATATATAATCTTCAGCTATTTTTATTTTACTTTCCTTAATTAAGCATCTTAAACAACAAAAAGCTATTTCATTGTTTCCTGGCATGAAATACTTAACTCAAATTGTTGTTGTTTTTATTTTTGCCAGTCCTGGGGCCTGATCTCAGGGCCTGGCACTGTCCCTGAGACTCAGTGTGCTCAAAGCTAGCACTTACCACTTGAGCTACTGCATCATTTCTGTTTTTTTCTGAGTAGTTGATTGGCAATGAGAGTCTCATGGGCTTTCCTGCCCTTGGCTGGCTTCAAACCACAAACCTCAATTCTCAGCCTCCTTTGTAGCTAGGATTACAGGCATGCACCACTTGCACCCAGCCAGATTTTTTTTTAAATGCAAAATTATTTTCTTTCCTTTCAAACCAATAATTTGATGTTCTACCTAGATATCCAAATAATTTTTCCTGTCCTTGAAGATTCCATTGTCTTCCCAGTGTCCCACTAATCTTAAGTCAGTTTTTCAGGGTATATTTTTGCCCTACTTTTAAAGTTTATCTTTTTTCACTTCAAGAACATTTTTCTGAAATTATAAACATTAGAGTTTGGTGGCAGCATACTTGCCTACCGTGCTAAATGCCTTAAGTTTAAACCTAACATTAAAAACAAAACAAAAAAAAAAACAATTGTTTCAGTGTTTGTTTGCAAGGGCTACTACTAATGTACATGAAGTCACCTTCTATATTTGTCACCTTCTATAGAATATTTTTATCCTAGTTTATTAAAAATGTTTTCCTATTTTCACCTTCTATTCTTCTTAATGCATTATGTAATTCCAGCTTAGTCTTCATTTTCTTTTTCTTTTTCCTCAGTGTTAAGTATTGAACCCAGGGCCTTGAGCATGTTAGGCCAAGTGCTCTATCTACCACTGAGCTACATCACCAGCCCACTTCTGAAATGATCTTTTTTCCCTTTTTAATTCTTTTCTAAGGTCTATCACCTCACTTGTAATTATTATTTCAACTAGAAATAACAATTTGCCATTTTCTTAATTTTGTAGTTCATGTTGAATTCTTTGATTTTAGTTTCTAACATACATTCATTGTCTGTAGAGAAGTTATTCTGTTCTTCAATCTTTTTTTTCAATAACTGTGTACAGAGATTCAACCATGATTCTTGCCTTTTATAGATTATCTCATTTCTTTTTCTCTGTTTTTTCTGTTTTACTCAATTTTGTATCTATTTTCATCAGTTTTTCCTTGATGCAAGGTTCTCCCTGGAAGGGAGGCCTCAGCCACTCCAGTCCCTTCAACTTTAGCAGAGACATATTGCTCTCAGCCCAAACTCGAGTCTGCTAGTGCCCTTAGGGTTCAGTTGCTATTTCATTAGCTACCATGGTAGCCAAAATATCCTCTTGTTCTCAGATCTATCAGATACCCTATTAATTCTCAATGTTGCTGAACAGACTGATTTAGACCCATAAATTATACCAGTGATTTCTCTCTACTCATTTATATTTGACGGTTCAAAAGGCATACTCTATCTCATATGCCTTATTGATGTTTGTGGCTTTTCTAGATTATTATTCTAGTTGCCTATTTCTATAAGGAATCTCTCTCCTGGATTTCAGCAATTATCTAGAGGTTTTGTTTATATAAAATTTAATATGCTAGGGCTTGGAAGGTAGCTCAGTGGTAGAGCGCTTGCCTTGCATGCATGAGGCCCTGAGTTCGATTCGTTAGCACCACATAAGCAAAAAGAAAAAAGCCAGAAGTGGTGCTGTGGCTCAAGTGGTAGAGCTCTAGCCTTGAGCTGAAGAGCTGAGGGACAGCACCCAGGTCCAGAGTTCAGGCCCCACGACCAGACCAAAAAAAAAAGAAAAATTTAATATGCTAGAAAATTATTTACGCAAGAGATTCAGCCTGAAAGTTCCAGTTCAAATGCTTAGTTCTAATTTCCTCACCTTTAAATGAAAACCCAGCCAAATGCTGATGGCACATGCCTGTAATCCTAGCTACTCAGGAGGCTAAGATCTGAGGATCATGGTTCAAAGCCAATCTAGCAGGAAAATCCATGAGATTCTTATCTCCAATTATCCACCAAAAAAACCCAGAAGTGATGCTGTGGCTCAAAGTGGTAGAGCCTTAGCCTTGAGCAAAAGAGCTCACAGGCAGTATCCAGGCCCCAAGTTAAGTCCCCCGACCAACAACAACAACAAAAAAAAAAAAAACAGAATTAGGATTGGGAATGCGACTTAGTGGCAGAGTACTTGCCTAGAATTCATGAAGCCCTGAGTTCAATTCCTCAGTACCACATAAACAGAATAAGCCAGAAGTGGTGCTGTGGCTCAAGTGGTAGAGCACTAGCCTTGAGCAAAAGAAGCCTAGGGACAGTGTCCAGGCCCTGAGTTCAAGTCCCAGGACTGGCCAAAAAAAATAATAAATTTAAATTTAAAAAGTAAAAATGCCTTATCTAGTACAAAGTTTTTGTGTACACATATATGTTTGGGCACATGTGCAAATTGAAATGTCTCTGAATGAAAGTAAGGTAGCAAGAGTGCTTTTTGTTTCCATTTTGTTTACTATTGTACTCCTCAATCCTAACAAGTATATTTTATGTATTACTCAGGCAGGAAGGACAGATAGAGGGACAAAACAGAAAGGGCAGGAAGAAAACACTGGACAGGACACAAGAAGCTAGTTAGGACAAAAAAGGGGGATGGATAGGAGAAAAAGGAGGTATTATCAGGAAAGACAAACTGGACAACATAGGAGAGATGAGAGAAGTACATGGGACAGGAATCAGACAATGAATGGAACAGGAGTCAGGGAGTAGATAGGACAAGAGCTTGAACTGATTGAGATCAATAGGGATAGAGCAATATGGAGACCGAACTGAAGGACAACGCAAGATAAAAGGGGATTGGATACAGAATGAGGCATCAGGGAAGTATTACCAGGATGAAACAAGGTGGGATAGAAAGGGATGGAGAGTAGTAAAAGAAGGACAGAATAAACACAGCAAAATAAGTTTGTTTATTGTTACTGATTATTTGGTAGAAAAGGTATTGAAATTGAATAAATAAAACAAACAACCACACTTGTTGGGAGAAAAGCAATCCTAACAAAATGTACATGTTGAACTGATTATACATACCCGTAAGTTTCGGAGAGTTAGACCCTGAAGCAGTAAGACTGCAATGCTCTAGCACTGCTAGAACTGAATGAACCTGTTTCTATCTCAATCTAGGGGTAACTATAGGGAAAGCTCTGCTGCCTGACAACACATTACATTCCCCATTAACAGCACTATCAGAGAACTTTTTGCTATGTCTTCCCAGGCTAACTTGACTAAAAAAAGGTACAAGCATGCCTACCCACTAATGGAAAGTACAATCTAAGAAGATTCATACCAAACTGGTTTCTAAAATTAACTTATTTTTAAAAATAATGTGAAGCACAATAAATTTCAAGGCCCAAATTATTTTATATGTACTTACTGGAAGCATGGCTTCAGCCCATTCCCCATGTCCTCTTTGTAGAAGTTTAATTCTTTCTAGATCATAACAAACTTGTACAAGATCCCCCACTTGAAACTGTGAAGTGCCTCCTTCTGCACCCTGCACAGCATCCCCACTTCGGACAATGTTTGCTTTTGTGAGAACAGCAGGATTGAAGGTCCACCTATAAAAGCAAAAATTGAAACTCAAAACTGGTTAAGTTTACCTAACTTTAGTACTTTCTTCATCATTACAGTGAGAACAAACCTTGTGACATATCAAAAGAGTAAACCAACCCTTTGCAATTACATTCTGAGCATTTGCTATTTCTTTCTATAAATTTTCCTATTTTAGAAACTGTTTTTTCAGGTAGGACTTAATATGTGGCCCAGACTGGCATCAAGCTCATTATCCTCCTGTTTCAACTCCTTGGGTTTAAGAGTATATCACCATAACTGGCCTAATTTTTTTTATATGTTTTTTATTTTTTTATTTTTTGTTGGTCATGGGGCCTGAACTCTGGGCCTGGGTGGTGTTCCTTAGCTCAAGGCTAGTGCACTACCACTTGAACCGCAGTGCCACTTCCGGCTTTTTCTGCTTATGTGGTGCTGAGGAATCGAACCCAGGGCCTCATGCATGCGAGGCAAGCACTCTACCACTGAGCCACCTTCCCTATGTTTTTTATTGTAAAACTACTATACAGAGTGGTTACAGTTACATGAGTAAGGTAATAAGTACATTTCCTATGGAGCATTGTTATCTCCTCCTTTGTTTTTCCCCTACCACCCTTTCCTTCCCCACCTCCCTAATTTTATAATTTTATCATAAAATTTGAGAAATGAGAGAAATGAGCCAGGTGCCAGTGGCTGACACCTGTGCTCTTAGCTACTAAGGAGGCTGAGATCTGAGGATTCAATACCACTAATAAATGGCCACTGTTTAAAAATAAAGACATCTGAAAAACATGACAAATCAAAGTGCCATTATCACACATGTACATCTAGATCACTATTATTAAAGCTCTACTATGAATCCTTACAGATCTTTTATTAACATACTGAGTGATTTATAAGTTACAAAGTGATATTCTTTTTAGAGAGACAGAGAAGCAGAGAAAGAGGCAGAGACAGATACAGAGACACTGTTTTGTGACTTTTTTTTTTCACAGATAATATGCCTTGGAAGATTTTTCCATGTCAGAAGTATGTATCTACGTAATTCAATTTAACAGTTACAGACTATCATACCCCATATCATGGGCATACACAAGTTAATTTGGCTAATTTCCTATAGTCTATCATTTAAAGATTTTTCAAATTTCCACAAGTACATACAATACTACAAAGAAAGTGAGATGATCAAGATATACTGTACTCATAAATCGACAGGAAATTCCTTTGTACAACTATTTAAAAACCATTTTTAATATATTTTTAAATACCATAAAGAATATCCTTGTATGTATATGTTTCTTTACATGGAGTCAATGTTTTACCAAAGTCTTAAAAGAACAACTTAATAAAGTGTATATTATTAACAATTGTCAGACTCAAGCTGCTCTACAAATTATACCATTTCCTCATACTAGTGCCAATCTCATGGATAAAAATGCTATCTAGTTTTAATTTGCCAAGTGTGGTTATAATCACTCTATGAAAGCCAATTTGGATTCTGATTTCTTTACTATAACAAATAAGCATTTCCCCATGCTGCTCTACTCTTCATAACCAACATTTTAATGATGACATCTATGCCATCAAACAACATATGCCACAATGTATAACACAACACTTTCCTTGGTGCTACATTGAATGAAAAAGTCTTGAAACTTTGAAACTAGGTGTAGGTATAACATAGAACTTTATTAGCATAGGCAGGAACTTCCTAGGTAGAATTCCAAGGGCTCATTAAATAGGAGAGAGAACTGACAAATGAGACTGCATCAAACTAAAAGGTTTCTACACAGTAAAGCACACCGTTACTGGGGTAAAAGGAATCTATACAGAAAGAGAGAAAGGGTGCACAAATGCAATCATGCTATTCAGTATACACAATGTGGATAATGACAGGAAGTGCAAAGTGGGAGAAAGCAAAGGAAAGAGGTAACATTGTCCAAAAAAGTAAATATATTCATTACCTGACTTATGAAATGGTAACCCCTCTGTATAACACCTTAATAATAACAATAAAATCATATTTTTTAAGTCTACAGTATGGGAGATCTTTGATATATGGAGAGTTCAAGAAATTAAATTCCAAGCCGGGCGCTGGTGGCTCACGTCTGTAATCCTAAACTACTCAGGAGGCTGAGATCTGAGGATCACGGTTCAAAGCCAGCCCGGGCAGGAAAGACCGTGAGACTCCTATCTCCAATAAACCACCAGAAAACCAGAAGTGGCACTGTAGCTCAAGTGGTACAGCGCTCACCTTGAGCTGAAGAGCTGAGGGACAGCACCCAAGCCCAGAGGTCAAGCCCCAAGACCAAAAAAAAAAAAAAAAACTAAATTCCCAAAGCATCAATAACCACATTGACAAATGAGCAAAGGAACTAAATAGAGGATTCTTAGAAGTAAACATGGCCAATAAACATATTAAGAGATGCCCAGCATCTTTGGCCATAAATGAAATATCTGTAAGACTCATATCTCCAATTAACCAGACAAACATCAGAAGTGTAGGTATAGCTCAAGTGGTAGAATGCTAGCCATGAGCTAAAAACCTGAAGGAGAGCATATGCTCTCAAGCCCCAGAACTAGCACCAAAAAAAAAAAAAAAAAATACTACCCAAGAATTTTGTGCAACAAAAAATTCTGTAATAAGATTTAACATTCCCAAATAACAAGAAAATATTTAATAAGAATATGTAAGCTCAATGCTTGATAAGAAATGTACTTGTTATCTTGCCCATGTAATTGTAACTCCTCTGTACGGTATTCTCACAATAAAAAAAAGAATATGTAAGCTAATCAAACATTCTTAAGAATTTTTAAAACAAATTCAATTTTATTGAGATATAATTTACATACCATACAATTCACTCATTAACAAGTAGTGTTTATTTAAAAAGTTGTGCAACCATCACCATTATCCAATTTTATTTTCACTCCCTCTTAAAGATACCCAACTATTAGCAGTCATTCTTCTCCCTAGGCATTATGTATTCAATAATATACTTTGGTCCTTCAGACTTATTCTTGACATTTTATAGAAATAAAATTAAAATTAAATTAAAAAAAAAAAAAAAAAAAAAAGAAATAAAATTACATAGTCTGTGACCTTTTCTGGCTGGCTTCTTCCCCTTAGCATTATGTTTTCAAGATGCATTTATGTTGCAGTATATGTCAGTACTTTATCCCAGTTTATGGATAGATACTAATTCCCACTGTATGGATATGTCACTTTAAAAAGTTTTAACAAGGTTTTATTTTAATATAGCAGGGTTAAAGTAGGAAGAAATGAAAAAGAGAAGCATTTCTTGCTCCCCATATAGGAAATGAAAGACTCCTGAAATACCACATTTTGTTTATCCACTTACTAGAAAGACTCCTGAAATACCACATTTTGTTTATCCACTTACTAGCTAATGGACAATCTGAATTCTTTATTTTTGTTTTGTTTTTTGGTCCGGTCATGGGGCCTGAACTCTGGGCCTGGGCGCTGTCTCTCAGCTCTTCAGCTCAAGGCTAGCGCTCTACCACTTGAGTCACAGCGCCACTTCCGGCTTTTTTCTTTTTGCTTATGTGGTGCTGAGGAATCGAACCCAGGGCCTCAGCATGCAAGGCAAGCACTCTACCACTGAGCCACCTTCCCAGCCCAATCTGAATTCTTTCTATATCTTGCTCTCATGAATGATTCTTCTACAAAGACTCATGCACACAATTTTTTGGATATCTGTTTTTAATTCTGAGTGTGTGTGTATGTGTATATATATAAAAAGCAGAATTGCTGAGTGATATGGTAACTCTGATAAACACAATGTGAAACTTCCAGACTACTTTCCAAAGTGACTCCACCATTTTATAGTGTGTGTGTGTATATATATATATATATATATATATATATATATATATATATATATATATACTGATTTCCAATTTTTCCAGCAACACTTTTCTTCAACAATTTTCCTTAACAACACTCATTATGTGCTTTTTCATTCCAGCCCTCTTGAATGATTCTAGACTTTGAGTCAGTCACACTGAGATCTGTAGTTCTGATATGGACTTCAGTATCTTTTTATGAGTGTTGTAGAAAGAACTATGTTTTCAAAGAATTTATATAAGAAACCCCTGATCCCCAATGTAACTGTATTAGAGAGAGGGCCTTTAGGGAAGTAATATGGTTAAATGAGTAATATGAATAGGGTCCTAATCTGACAAGACTGGTGTCATTATAAGAGAAACCAGAGAACTCTCTGTAATCATGCACAGAGGAAAAGCTATATGAGATATCACAAAGTGATAAGATGGACATCTACATACCAGGAAAAAGGTCTCAATAAAAATAAACTGTAACAGTATCTTGGTCTTTTGTCTTTTAGCTTAGGTAAGCATAATAAAGTAATTTTCTACAGTGTAAACCATTTCTACAGTATTTTTGTATGTACGTGTGTGCCAGTCCTGGTGCTTGAACTTAGGACTTGGGCATTGTGCTTTTTTTGCTCAAGGCTAACACTCTACAACTTGAGCCACAGCTTCTTTTCTGGCTTTTTTGGATGGTTAATTGGAGGTTAAGAGTCTATATGGGGCTGGGAAGGTGGCTCAGTGGTAGAGCGCTTGCCTTGCATGTCTGAGGCCCTGGGTTCGATTCCTCAGCACCACATAAAGAAAAAAAAAAGCTGGAAGTGGCACTGTGGCTCAAGTGGTAGAGCGCTCGCCTTGAGCTGAAGAGCTGAGGGACAGCGCCCAGGCCCGGAGTTCAGGCCCTACGACCGGACGCCAAAAAAAAAAGTCTATAGACTTTCTTCCCTGAGTTGGTTTAAAATTGCAAGCAATCCTCAGATACTCCTCTCAGCCTTCAGAGTATCTATACAGGTAAGAGTGTGTATTTTTAATGGAATCCCTAGCTATAATACACTGGGCTTACTGGTCATCTCCACAGTTGCTTAGGAAAATGTCTACTCAAATCCTTTGGTGAGCTGTATTGCCTTTCACTTTTTAATTTTAAGAATTTTTAGCTGGGCACCAGTGGCTGACACTTATAATGCTCAGAAGGCTCAGATGTGAAGATAGCAGTTCAAAGACAGCCCAGTAAGACAAATCCTAAAAACTCCTATCTCCAACCAGCAAAAAGCCAGAACTAGAGATGTGGTTCTAGTGGTAAAGTACCAGGTCTGAGTAAAAAAAGCTGAGCAAGAGCACAAGGCCCTGAGTTCAAACCCCAAACCCTAGTACCTGCACAGTAACAAATTAAAATCAAAAAACTTTGTATTTTCTAGCTATGTTGTCTTAATAGTCACAAAGTTGGGGCTGGGAAGGTGGCTCAGTGGTAGAGCGCTTGCCTTGCATGCATGAGGCCCTGGGTTTGATTCCTCAGTACCACATAAGCAAAAAAGAAAAAAGCCGGAAGTGGCGCTGTGGCTCAAGTGGTAGAGCGCTAGCCTTGAGCTGAAGAGCTGAGGGACAGCGCCCAGGCCCAGAGTTCAGGCCCCACAACCGACAAAAAAAAAAAAAAAATGAACTGACTTCTGAGAGAGAGGGAGAAAAGGTGACACTGTCCAAAAAGAAATGTACTCAGTACCTGATTTCCGTAACTGTAACCCCTCTGCACATCACCTTTACAGTAACAATAAAAAAATGAACTGACCTAAATGGAAGGGATAATTTCTGAACTCTATTCCATTGAATTGTATTTCTGTCTTGATTGTTACAGCTTTTTGGTTTAAGTTTTAGAACTGGGAACGTGAAACCTCTAACTCTATTCTTGTTCAAGGTTCTTTTGGCTATCTAGATTCCTTGACTTTACAAATGAATTTTAGGATCTATCCATTTGCACAAAAAAGAACCAGGATTTTGATAAAGATTAGCCTAAATCTGTATATTAATTTGGGGCATGCTGTCATCTGTTTTGAGGTAAAGTATGTATTCACCCCAAAATATATTAAAATCTTAATTCAAATATCTGTTAATATGATCTTATTTGAATAATAGGGTCTTTACACATGTAATCAAGTTAAGATGGGATCGTACTAGATTTGAGTGGACTCTAAATATATATCTTCAATGGTTAGTGCCTTTATAAAAACGTCATGGGCTGGGAATGTAGCTTAGTGGTAGAGTGCTTGCCTAGCATTCATGAAGGAAGCCCTGGGTTCCATTTGTCAGTACCACATAAACAGAAAAAGCCAGAAGTGGAGCTGTAGCTCAAGTGGCAGAGTGCTAGCCTTGAGCAAAAGCTCAGAAACAGTGCCCAGGCCTGAGTTCAAGTCCCAGGACTGGCAAAAAAAAAAGAAAAAAAAAAAAAAGAAAAAAAAAAAGGAGGAAGTCATATAAACAAGCATAGTTGTAGACACCTGTAATCCCAGTACCAAGGAGACAGAGGCAGGAGGGTCTTGTGTTCAAGATCAGTCTGAGCTACATAGCAAGACCATGTCTCAAAAACAAAAACAAAAACAGAAATTCAGGTACATATAGGCCAATGAGACAAGCAGCAAGCAAGAGGTACAGAGTTTGAAGCAAAGACAAACTATGTGATTAAGATATAACCCTAGAAATATGAACAAGAAAAGTTTTGTCACAATTCTTATTTATAGAAAATCAATATGACCTATTATGAACAAAGAACTTTATAAGCTATACTAAAACCTAAAACATACATTGCATTCTACTACTTCCAAAGGAAAAATAAAAAGTATAGAAAACTTGCATTACAAATATATAAAAGTCATATTAAAATTTTTTTTAATTCACATATAAAACACACATGTACATTATTGATTCTGCTTTACCAATATAGTCCGGATTTTTTTTTTTTTTTTTTTTAGTATGGGCTTGAACTCTGGGCCTGAATTCTGTCCCTGAGCTCTTCAGCTCAAGGCTAATGCTCTACCACTTGAGCCACAGTGTCACTTCTAGTTTTCTAAGTGGTTAATTGGAGATAAGAGTCTCACAGACTTTCCTGCCTGAGCTGGCTTTGAATCTCGATCCTCAGATCTCAGCCTCCTGAATAGCTAGGATTACAGGTATGAGTCACCAGCACCCAGCTTATAGTCCGGATTTTTACCTGCCACATAAGAGCTAGCTTCAGTAATCTTTTTTTGTTTTTGTTTTGTCAGTCATGGGGCTTGAACTCTGGGCCTGGGCACTGTCCCTGCACTCTTCAGCTCAAGTGCTCTACCACTTGAGCCACAGTGCCACTTCTGGTTTTCTAGTGGTTTATTGGAGATAAGAGTCTCACGGACTTTTCTGCCCCAGCTAGCTTTGAACCCTGATCCTCAGATCTCAGCCCCCTGAGTAGCTAGGATTATAGGCATGAGCTACCGGTACCCAGCTTGCTTCAGTGATCTTTGATCACTGAAAATCACATTGTTTTTGTTGGGTTTTTTTGGTCTGGGGCCCAAACTCTGGGCCTGGGAGCTGTCCCTCAGCTCTTCAGCTCAAGACTATCACTTTACCACTTGAGCCACAACATCACTTCTGGCTTTTTCTGCTTATGTGGTGCTGAGGAATCGAACCCAGGGCCTCATGCATGTAAGGCAAGCACTCTACCACTAAGCCACCTTCCCAGCCTCACATTTACTTTTTTTAAGGCTCTTTTCTCTATGTACTAACTTTGTCATTATCAAAATTGAGAAATATCACCAACCTATTGCCACTTGGATACTGTACTACAATGTCATGATCTTCATCAATGCCACAAACAGTTCCAGTTGTAGTTAAAGTCTCAAACATTCCATCAGTCCATCCTCCATGGCCATGCTGCAAAGACTGTACAATTTCTAGGTCAAGATCTATATTGACCAGGTCACCAATCTGGAGTCCACCAGGATTTCTGTTGCCATTTTGCTCACCTGTAGTTAACAGGGGTCGTTAACAAAACAGAATGAAAGCCACACTAACCATATGTATATGCATGATTACTGTTAATCTCTTTATTTGTAAGTAGGCCTAATTCTTTAATTCATTTTAATAGTGTCTAAGAATGTATCCATTTCATCTAGCTTACCTCATTTATTAGACTATAATTATTCATAGTATTCCCTTACAATTTGTTTTGGTAACTTTTATTTTAAACTGATACATAATAATTGTACGTATTCATGGGATACAATGTGGTATTTCAGCATATGTATATGTAATGCTCAAATCAGGATAATTAGAATATCATGCTAAACATTTATCTTTTCTTTGTGGAAGAACACGTAAAATTCTCTCCTCTAGCTATTTGAAATACACAATAAATTATCATTACCTATAGTCATATTCTGTGCTACAAAACACCTTACTTATCCTATAAGTTTGTACCCATTAACCAACCTCTCCTGAAACTGTATTATTTTTAAACAAGAATAAAAGACATTTTAGTTTTAGGCATCCTCTCACTTAAAATGTTTTTAAAATTCACAGAAAGTATGACATTTTAGAAGAGAAAGTTTTAAAATACAGAAAGAAAAGATAGGAGCAATGGGTGACAATGTTGTCAGACACCTTGTATTCATATACTGTTTTGTAGAATGGGAACTTCTTTGTACAGTTACTCAAAGATAATAAGTGTTTTTTAAAAACAAATGTGATTTTTTTTAACACTTTCAGATCCACATTTATTTCTGTTCCTCATCACACACAGCGGGTCACACACACACACATTTCCTGCAGCTAGTAAGTCACTTGATGCTGGCAAGGCACTAGCTCTGTTGGCATCGGAATCTGACAGTTAACCAGTGTTAAATCCATGAAGTATTTACAAAGCACAGCATAGGAAACAAATGTGATTTGTAAGAAATAAAAAATATTCTAAACCAAAATAAACAAAAAAAAGATACATCAGACTGTTGGGGCTCAACAATAGTTAAGTGGTAAAAGTGCCTGCCAAGCAAGCTAAAGGACTTCAGTTTCAATCCCTAGTACCTCAATAAATAAATAAAGTAATAAAGTAATAATCTGGGTTGGCATATAGCTTAGTAATAAAGTACTTGCCTAGCTCTGGGTTCAATAACCAGCATTATAAAAAAAAAAAAAAGACAAGAAAGAAAAAGAATCCGTAATAATATGAGGATTCATAACAAATAAGCAAAGTTCCAGATGTTGAAAATGTTCACTTTCCTGCCTGGATAACTTATTGTCTATCAATGTACCAGAATATTTATAAGAAACAAAAAAGAACTGTATTTTTTTTCTCTGGAGTGTCTGAGGAATTCAGGTCTTCATTCTTGCTACGTAGGTGCTCTACCATTTTAGCCATCTGCCTTCCTCCCCCCTCAGGATTTTTCCAAAACCTGCTTATTTACACTTCACACTATAGATGACAGGTATATAGCATCACATTTAGCTTTTTCTTTTTTTAATTTTATTTTATTGTAAAGATGCTATACAGAGGGGTTACAGTTACATGAGTAAGGCAATGAGTACATTTCTTGTTGAGCACTGTTACGTCCTACATTTAGCTTTTTCTAAGTAGGCTCATGAATATTTTGTCCCAGACTGACCTGGAACTATGATTCTCAATCTCAGCCTCCCATATAAGTGGGATCACAGGCACATATTACTATGCCCAGCTATGAAATGCTTACTTTGTTTAAAAAACAACAGATGTGATTTTTATCTAAACAACATTTTTATCTAAAGAACAATCATTCAGCCAGCCACCAGTGGATCACACCTATAATCCTAGCTACTCAGGAGGATCAGATCTGAGGATCCTGGTTCAAAGACAACCTGGGCAGTAAAGTCCATGAGACTCTTATCTCCAACAAACTACTCAGAAAAAGCTGGAAGTGGGGCTGTGGCTCAAGTGGTAGAAAACTAGCTGGGAGTAAAAGAAGCTCAGAGACAGAGCCCAGGCCCAGAGTTCAAGCCCCAGGACAACGAGGGGGGTGGTACGGGGGTCATGATGATGACACTCATTCCCCTAGGAGAGAGTGAAAGGGTAACACTGTCCCCAAAAACTGTATTCATTACCTGACTTATGAAACAGTAACCCTTCTGTACATCACCTTTATAATAACAAAAAAATTCAATAATAAAACAGAACACTCATTCCCCAGATTATTTTCTAAACCTAATTTCAGAGTAATGGATTCATGATCATAAAGCTATGCTAACTAATCTGAATGTACATTTATTCCACATGTTTCTTATGAAGGCATGACACAAAACCAGACAGTTTCCAAAAATAAGAAAAAAAGATGAGCTCATCAAAACAAATGTTTTCCTACATTCTTATTTTCACAAAAAAAGTTAAAGATATGCTACAAGAAAATAATACTTCTTGGGGCTAGGAAGGTGGCTCAGTAGTAGAGTGCTTGCCTTGCATGCCTGAGGCCCTGGGTTCGATTCCTCAGCACCACATAAGCAAAAAGAAAAAAAAAGCCGGAAGTGGTGCTGTGGCTCAAGTGGTAGAGCGCTAGCCTTGAGCTGAAGAGCTGAGGGACAGCGCCCAGGCCCAGAGTTCAGGCTCCATGACCGGACCCCAAAGGAAAAAAAAAGAAAGAAAGAAATACTTCTTGACAAAAAGGTCAAGATATACTTCACATTAGAAAACATTCAGAGTCTAAACACTTAATCAAAAGAGAAGAGAGAGGCTGGGAAGGTGGCTCAGTGGTAGAGTGCTTGCCTTGCATGCATGAGGCCCTGGGTTCGATTCCTCAGCACCACATAAGCAAAAAGAAAAAAGCCAGAAGTGGCGCTGTGGCTCAAGTGGTAGAGCACTAGCCTTGAGGTGAAGAGCTGAGGGACAGCGCCCAGGCCCAGAATTCAGGCCCCATGACCAGACCCAAAAAAAAAAGAGAAGAGAGTTCCAAATGCTCATCCTTATAATGCATTTTTAAATGAATGCAGTTTTGGTTATATAGCTCTTAAAATTTTCAATTATACATGGAATCATATCTTATATCATTTATATCATATCTTATCATTCAGTTATACATGGAATCATATCACTATCTTAGAGCTTCTCTTACTAAGTAGGCAATTTTACAGAAATTGTAAAGCATTTATGAGCACTAACATGTCAAATCCTTTCTATAGTATATAAATTATAACTTTGATATAATGTAATAAAAAAGTTTTCCATATGGTTCACAGTTAAAAGATAAACATTTTGCTCATGTTTTCTCGCATATGTGTAAGTTAGATCTAAAATACAACTGAATATGATAACTTAAACAGGGTTCTGTGCATTTAAACACACACAAACTAAAGGGTACACTTAGGAGAGATGAATTCAAAGGTGTAATCCCTCTGAAGGTTTAAAGTACTATTTATCAAAACAAATTCCAGGAAATAGAAACATGTTTTTTTGTGGTTGGTAGTGGTATTTCATTTGGGGGTTTTCTTTGGTCTTTTTTAGAGAGGGAGGACACAGGAATGGAAGAGGGATGAACAACTGCAGTCACTGTATTCAATACACAATATGTACAAAATGAACTATGCAACTTGTAGGCAGGGAGGAAGAGAGGGAGGGAAGGAAGTAGGAAGGGAAGGAAAAAAGGAGAGAGGAAGGGCCTTAAAACTAAAATGGAATTTAAAAAGTATTTCTCTAAATATTTTAATGGTAATCATTTTTTCAGTGCAATTTAGACATTTTATTAATTTCATAAACTCTGAATCATTATTTAGAATTTTTTTCTATTTTGTTAACTCACCTAGTACAGGACAATGATCTCTGTAGAAAGAACCTCCTTTGGCATCCTGGACACACTTCAGATCAGACTAAGAAAAGAAACCAGAAGAATCACATAAAAACTTCAAATATGGCTCAATACCTGAACCAGGCAAAATCCCATTCAGAATATACAAAAGAATAGCTCCAGGTTACTAATCACACTAAAAACTGCTTTTAAAAATAGTAGTTAAATACTATAAAACTGGAAATATTTTCTCAATTAAAAAAATATATATATAAGCCAGGTACCAGTGGCTCATACCTGTAATCCTAGCTACTCAGGAGGCTGAGATCTGAGGATCATGGTTCAAAGCCAGACTGGGCAGGAAAGCCCGCGAGACTCTTATCTCCAATAAACCACTAGAAAACCAGAAGTAGTGCTATGGCTCAAGCAGTAGAGCACAGGCCTTAAGCTGAAGAGCTGAGGAACAGCACCCAGGCACAGAGTTCAAGCCCCAAAACCAACAAAAACAAAACAAAAACTATAAAACTGATGTATAGACAATCTCACTTTGCTTACTTTTTCATTTCTAATTTAAAAGCTCAAAATTAAAACTGAATCTTTAACATTAAAAGGTTTCAAAAACACATGCCAAATAAAGTATAACCAACACCTGGTATATGAAATGTGTTCAACAAAAAAAGAATCAAAAATTTAATCTCATTTTATGTAAGTTTACATGTAAAACAAATATTAACTTATTTTGAAATAAGAAAAGTGAACATAAGAAGAAAACTACTTAAAACAGCCAGTAGAAAAAGACTTAACCAAATTCTGCATGTGGATACTTAATTCTCCTACTTATGTCAACTTTCATCCTTACTTCAGCATAACTTGGTTGAGTCAAGTTCATTCTCAGTTACCCTTATGAGAAAAATTATGTACCTGAATGGGAAGGTACCTTTAGTAAAGAAAACCAAAAATATAGACTTAGAACATCAATCTTGGGCATTTCTGTGAAAATTTAAAAGCAGATTTACTTAAAAGTACCTAGTAATAGCTGGCATATACAACAGATGATTATTATACTTTACTACATTCAATGAAAGGATCCTTCAAGGGCTGGGAAGTTAGCTCAGTGGTAAAGCGCTTGCCTTGCATGCCTGAGGTCCTGGGTTCGATTCCTCAGCACCACATAAGCAAAAATAAAAAAGCCCGGAAGTGGTGCTGTGGCTCAAGTGGTAGAGCACTAGCCTTGAGCTGAAGAGCTGAGGGACAGCGCCCAGGCCCAGAGTTCAGGCCCCACGACCGAACCCAAAAAAAAAAAGAAAGAAAGAAAGGATCCTTCAAATACATACACACACACACACAAACACACACACAGAGCCCCTTTACCACCAAAACATCAAATGTTACTCACTCTGACCAAAGAGATATAAGGTAGGGGGTCTGTTTTAAAGTGAAAGTTTAATCCAATAATTCTATTTCTAGAAATCTATTCTAAGGACATATACCCATAATATGCAAAGATATAGATATCGATACAGATATAGATATATAAAGTTCCTGACTGGCACACTGCTCGCAGCAGTGGAGGGGAGGATGGATACATAGCTAAAGAAATCTCATTATGTAAATAAATGGCATAACCATATAGAGAAGTACCACTCAGCCATCAATCTAGTTATGCTACTTATTAAGTTCCTAAGCATATACAGTACAGAAGCTTCCATTTGAAGCAAACTAATAATCTGTTAGAGTCCTTAAAAAATATTGGTTTAAAAATGTGGAAAGGCACAAAGGTAATGAAAAACAGATAAATAACAGTATGTCAGAAAATTTGGAATTAGTTCACTTGCTTAAGTTCACATGGCTGGCTTTTGCATATAAATGTAATACACTGAGGAGTCAGTAAATGTTTTTCTCTTGTTAAAGAGACTTAAGACAGTTGAGAAAAAAATGAAATGTAAAAAATTATTTGAATGAGGAACATATTCAAGATAAAAGGGATAAGGGATGGGAAGGGGAAACAAAGGAGGAGGCTACAATGCTTGATAAGAAATGTACTCATTATCTTGCCCATGTAATTTAACCCCTCTGTACAGTATTTTCACAATAAAAAATAAAAAAAAAAATTTAAAAAAAGGGATACGGGGAGGGGGAGATGGGAAGGGATGGGAAGGGGAAACAAAGAAGGAGGCAAAAATGCTTGATAAGAAATGCATTCAGGGGCTGGGAAGGTGGCTCAGTGGTAGAGCACTTGCCTTGCATGCATGAGGCCCTGGGTTCGATTCCTCAGCATCACATAAGCAAAAAGAAAAAAGCCAGAAGTGGCGCTGTGGCTCCAGTGGTAGAGCGCTAGCCTTGAGCTGAAGAGCTGAGGGACAGCACCCAGACCCAGAGTTCAGGCCCCACAACTGGTAAATAAAAAAAAAAAAAAAAAAAGAAATGCATTCATTACCTTGCCCATGTAATTGTAACTCCTCTGTATGGTATTCTCACAATTAAAAAAAAAAAAGGATAAGAGGTATCGACATTTTATGTTACTAAAGTAGAAAGATAATGTTTGAACAGTAGAGATATAGAGTATACCACTGAATAAGCCTCCATTATTCTATAAGCATTTAAATAATTCTAAGTGTTTCTACTGAACTCAAGGCCTCATACTCTCACTTTGCTTTTTCAATTAGATGGCATTGTACCACTTCAGCTACTGTTCCACTTCTGACTTATTGCTGGTTCACTGGAGATAGGAGTCTCACAGACTTTTCTGACCAGTCTAGCTTTAAGTCAAGATTGTCAAATTTCAGCTTCCTGAGCAGACAGACTTACAAGAATGAGCCACCAGCAACCACCTGTGCAGATCCTAGGGCTTGAACTCAGGGCCTGTGTGCTATCCCTGAGCTTTGTGCTCAAGGCTTCACCTTCAGCTTTTGAACCACCGGCACTCAATTTAAGGGCTTTTTGTTGTTGTTGTTGTTGCTGTTTTGGTGAGAGTTGGAGGGGGGTCTTTCTGCTAGTCCTAGGGCTTGAACTCAGGGTCTGAGCCTCTTTGTGCTCAAGGCTAGTGCTCTACTACTTGAGCCACAGTGCCACTTCCAAATTTTTTAGTTTGAGATAAGAGTCTCACACCAGTATCTTTATTTCAAAATAACAATGACCCTATATTGAAAACAAACTTTACAACTTGGGGGGGGGGGGGGGGCAGTGTTGGAAAGATGGGAAGGGAAGGGACAGTAGGGGATAAACAAAAGAAGGATAACAACACTCAATAGGAAATGTACTCATTACCTTACTCATGTAACTATAACCCCTCTGTACACTACTTTTACAATTAAAAAAAAACACATTTAAAAAAAAAAAAAGAGTCTCGGGCTGGGAAGGTGGCTCAGTAGTAGAGCGCTAGCCTTGAGCTGAGGGACAGCGCCCAGGCCCAGAGTTCAGGCCCCATGATCGGACCCAAAAAAAAAAAAAAAAGAGTCTCACAGACTTTACTGCCCAGGCTGTCTTTGAATGGTGATCCTCAAATCTCAGCCTCCTGAGCCACTGGTACCTAGTTATATTAGTTATTTTTAATGTTCAACTATATGCTATGAAAAAATACAAAACAGGATCTACTTAAAAATAATTGTACCAGCTGGGTATCAGTGGCTCATGCCTGTAATCCTAGCTACTCAGGAAGCTAAGATCTGAGGATCAGCCTGGGTAATAAAAGTCTGTGAGACTCTTATCTCCAATTAACCACCAAAGAGCTTGAAGTGGAGCTGTGACTCAAATAGTAGAACGGTAGCAAAAAAACCGTCCAGGGACAGCACACAGGCCCTCAGTTCAAGCCTCAGGACCAGCACAAAAAAATAAGTAATTTAACCTCTATTGTAATTTATACTTTTATCAGCTACAAGAAATCAGAATACATGTGCACCACTAACAGTCATTACAATACTATCTTTGTTGGGCTAGGGATGTAGCTCAGTAGTGTAATGCATGCACAGCATATATAAAATATAAAAAAATTACTATTTTAACCTCCAAGGCTATACCAAAAAATAATCTTACAAATAATTCTAAATCTTTTGGTTAAATTTTAATAAATTAACCACTTGGAGTTACATTTAGAAGCAATCAGTTTTATGGAAGCAATATATAAAGTGCTCAAACATTTACAAAGGACAAAATCGTATTATTAGTTTAGATAACCAAAATAAAAATATAAGGTCTTAGAAGACTTTACTAAATCCTCACTTTACAGAGTTCCTTCCTGCTGCATATTCATAATTCAGATGGTTGCAATAAGAGAAAGAAATGAGAAAAGAAATAAGATTGTTCAGTATGTTCACAAATAAAAAAAAAAATGTGTAAAAAAAAAAAGAAAAGAAATAAGATTTTTAAAAAAAAAAGCAAACAGAAAGTGGAGCTGTGGCTCAAGTGATAGAGTTCCAGCCTGGAGCAAAAAAGCTAAGGGATACCATCCTGGCCCTGAGGTTCAAGCCCCATTACACTGGCACAAAAACAAAAAAGGACTATAATTTCTTTCTTTTACCCATTCAATATTTTGTCTATTGTAGGTCTTTACTACTTACCATGCCCTCAAAGCCAACTCTGTAAAGGTTTTTAGCACCATTATCCCAGAGAACATAAGCTGCACTATGTGGGCTTGATGCACTCCAGTCCTGGATTTCTGTTACCTAAAACAAGTTTAGGAAAAAAGAAAACTTTTTTAAAAATAGAAAAGTGAGGAAAGGAAGAAGTTAGTTCTCTTGATTATATTTAAATCTTAAAAATTATTTATCAATCTGTATTAACTGGATCATGAGTACTTACTTACCAAACAAGTCATTCCTAAAATATAATTATCATTAAAGTCATATTTTTCTAGAATTATAAGGTAACTGATTTTTTTTTAGATTTATTTGTGTGTGTGTGGGGGGGGGGGGTATGAGATTGAATTCTATTCTATAGCCAAGAATCCATGATCCTTCTCCTTCAGCCTCTTGAGTGGTGGAATTATATACATATAACCCATGCTTTGCCCAGAATTATAAAGTTATTTCTACAACCACTGTAGAAATTTTAAATTGGAAGGGTGTTAGAGATTATACTAACAGATCAGAAAATGAACAATCTATAATTTTGATGCAAATTTTATGAACCTTCTTTTTTTTTGGGGGGGGGGGGGCCGGTCGTGGGGCCTGAACTCTGGGCCTGGGCACTGTCCCTCAGCTCTTCAGCTCAAGGCTAGCACTCTGCCACTTGAGCCACAGCGCCACTTCTGGCTTTTTTTTCCTGCTTATATGGTGCTGAGGAATCGAACCCAGGGCCTCAAGCATGCAAGGAGAGTGCTCTACCACTGAGCCACCTTCCCAGCCCATGAACCTTCTTTTTTGTGCATACACCAATCCAGAGGCTTGAACTCAAGGCTAGCGCTCTACCACTTGAGCCACATTTTTACTTTTTTGGTGGTTAAGTGGAGGTATTTGGCTTCAAACCTTGATCCTTAGATCCCAGCCTCCTGAGTAGCTAGGATTACAGGCCTTCAACACTTATTCAGGGAACTATTCTTAACAGATTCTTTTAAAAACAGCATATTCTTAGGCTAGCACTGATGGTTCATGCCTATAATCCTAGCTACTCAGGAGGCTAAAATATGAGGTTCTTCCTGATATCCTATTCAAGAAAGTCTATGTGATCCTTAATTCCAATTAAGCACCAAAAAGCCAAGAGTGGAGCTACAGTTCAAGTGGTAGCCTTAAGCAAAAAAGCTAAGAGACAGCACCCAGGCTCTAAGTTCAAGCCCCAGTACCAGATAAATAAATAAATAAATAAATACTTCACCAGACACTGGTGACTCACATCTGTAATCCTAGCCTGTAATCCTCAGGAGGCTGAGATCTTAGGATCATGCTTTGAAGTCAGCTCAGATAGGAAAGTCTGTAAGACTCTTATCTCCACTAAACTAACCAAAAAAGCTGGAAGTTAAGCTGTGGCTTAGGTAGTAGAGCTCTAACCTTGAATAAAAGAAGCTCTGGGACAACATCCAGGCTCTGAGTTCAAGTCCCAGCGCTGGCACAAAAACAAAAAAATACAACTGGCCCTCAACATTTGCTTAAAGAACGTTATTCAACTTAGTATATAAATTCTCTTAGTGTCACATGTATAAGATGATTTCACTTATTTTATCTCATGTTTTTCAAAAGTAGTATGTACTATTATTGTAACAAAGCAAGAACATAAAACTGATTATTCAAAACCTCAAGAATGCCTTTTGTTCCTCAAAAACATGTCAATATAACAAAACCCAAGGAAGTTCTTTCTGTAGCTTCAGACTTTCATAACAACTACCTAAGATTTCCCATCCTTACCACATAATTAATTGCAGTAAGATGCAAAGTCATTTTTCAAAATGAATTATTTTTTTCTTTTCATGTACTCTTTCAAAAGAGGTTACAAGAAATCCTGCTATACCAAAGAGAGTAAGCTAAGTAATATGATGTACTGGGGTACAGAAAAAGTGAAAATCTGCCAGGGACATATACCCATCTAGGACATCAAAGGAAGTTTCCAGTATAACTGCTGGACACCAGGCAGGCTGTAGTCATATAGTTCAGTCTAGACAAACTGAAGGATCTGATCACCAAAAGACCCACTGAAATTTCATCATTTTATTAACCTGAGGACATATTGCCCACTTGAGCTTGGCCCACATTTCATACATCAAGTATATCTAGGTTTTGTTTTGTTTTGTGCCAGTCTTACGGTGCCTGAGTTCAGGGCCTCGGTGCCGTCCCTGAGCTTTTTTTGCTCAAGGCAATAACACTCTACCACTTGAGCAACAGCTCCTCTTCCAGATTTTTTTTTTTGTCGGTCATGGGGTTTGAACTCTGGGCTTGGGTGCTGTCCCTCAGTTCTTCAGCTCAAGGCGAGCACTCTACTGCTTAAGCCACAGTGCACTTCCGGTTTTCTGAGTGGTTTATTGGAGATAAGAGTCTCAAGGACTTTCCTGTCTGGTCTGGCTTTGAACCATGGTCCTCAGATTTCAGCTTCCTGAGTAGTTAGTATTACAGGCATGAGCCTCCGGCACTAGGTTACCTAGCTTGTATGAACTTTGTGTAACAATGTTCCTACTCACTCCTCTCCCATCCATTCCTTGTCACCTAGACCAGCTGAGTTCCCCCATATTCCCTCATACACAGAGAATATTCTGCTTTAACCTATTCCTAATCAGTGAGCTATGGTCAGCTTAGAAGCAAAATTATATAGCAACACACCCCCTCTGAAAATATTACTGCCCAATGCCCAGCAGCTAGCCCTACTTCTAACACCTGATATCTAACCCAAGGCTCAGAATGACACTGCCAACTGAGTGCCCCAATTCACTGTACACTCCTGTAATCTCAACACTGAAGAGACTCATGAGTCTCAGACCAGCTGAAGCTATTGCTTTTTTTTGTTGTTGTTTTTCTTTTTTGCCAGTCCTGAGGCTTGAACTCGGGACCTAGGCACTGTCCTTGAGTTTCTTTTTGCTCAAGGCTAACACTCTACTCTACTTGAGCCACAATACCACTTCCAGCTTTTGCTGTTTATGTGGTGCTGAGGAATTGAACCCAGAATTTCATGCATACTAGGCAAGCACTCTGCCACTAAGCCACATTCCTAGCAAACTTGAGCTATATAGTGAGATTCTGTGTATATGTATATGTGTGTGTGTGTGTGTATATATATATGTATGTATATGTATGTGTATATATATATATATATATATATATATATATATATATAGTAAGATTCTGTCTCAAAAAAAAAAGAAAATAGAAAAAAGAAAAAAATAACAGTCCTCCATGTGACCTGAGAGGGGTAACAAGAGGCCAGTGAATTGGACATACAAGTTGCCAATTGGCTGGGGTATAGTTCACAGAGTACTTGCCCAGTATGGCTAAGACACCTAGTTTGATCACCAGCCAATTAGAAAATAAATAAAAATAAAAAGAGTAGCTGCCTACTGTCCTTCAGAAACAGAAACAGGCACTTAAGGAAACTAAAAATAAGTAAAATCAAATGATTTTTTTGACAGTGCTAGAGCTTGAACCCAGAACCTTGATTGAATATGCTAAGAAAGCACTCTACCGTACTCTTTGCCTGAAATTTTAATAGCAGGAAAGTAAACAGCATGAGATCCTCTTAGGGAGGAATGACCTAAATGACAAAATAGCAGAATGCCTAACTAATAACCTTTTTATAGCTTACAAACAAGCAGAAACATTCTATTTACTTGGAAATAAACAAACTAATAAATAAAAATTTGAAAGTTGTTACTATTGGTATGAAAAAAAAACAGCCAAGAAATTCATTTCTAGTAGCAATAAAAGCCTACAGAATAGGAGATTTTTATCAGGTATGCATGAGACAAAGGCCTCATATCTAAAATACACTTAGAGCTCAAAAAATTAAAGCCCTCAAAAATAACCTCTCAAAGAGACAATTCACTTAATAAATGGGCTAAAGACTGAAAGAGGGACTTCTCAAAGTAAGAAGTAAGAATGGCTAATAGACACATGAAGAAATGTTCAACATCTCTGGCCATAAAAGAAGTGCAAATCAAAACGACAATGAGGGGCTGGGAATGTGGCTTAGTGGTAAAGTGCTTGACTAGCATGCATAAAGCCCTGGGTTCAGTTCTTCAGTACCATATAAACAGAAAAAGCCAGAAGTGGCACTATGGCTCAAGTGGTAAAGCTCTAGCCTTGAGCATAGAGAAGCTCAGGGGCAGAGCCCAGGCTTTGAGTTCAAGGCCCGGGACTAGCAAAAAAGAACACTGAGATTCTACCTCACCCCAGTTAGAATGGACATTATCAAGAAACCTAACAGGGCTGGGAAGGTGGCTCAGTGGTAGAGTGCTTACCTTGCATGCATGAGGCCCTGGGTTCAATTCCTCAGCACCACATAAGCAAAAAAGGCCGGCAGTGGCACTGTTGCTCAAGTGGTAGAGTGCTAGCCTTGAGCTGAAGAGCTGAGGGACCGCACCAGGCCGAGAGAGGAGAGAGGAGAGAGGAGAGAAGAGAGAGGAGGAGAGAGGAGAGAGGAGGAGAGAGGAGAGAGGAGAGAGGAGAGAGGAGAGGGAGAGAGAGAGAGAGGAGAGAGGAGAGGGGGGAGAGAGAGAGAGAGAGAGAGAGAGAGAGAGAGAGAGAGAGAGAGAAAGAGAGAAAGAGAGAGAGAGCAAGAAAAGAAAGCTAACAATACCAAATGCTGGCGGGGATGTGGCCAAAAGGAAATTCTACTATACTGTTGGTGGGGATGTAAACGTGTTCAGCCACTCTGAAAAGCAGTATGGAGGTAAATATTAGTATGGAGGTAAGTATGGAGTAAATATTAGAGCGTTTCTATGACCCAGAAATTCCATTCCTGGGCATTTATCTAAAAGAACAAAAACAAAGCCACACTAAAGCTGCCAGCACAAGCCAGTGCCAGTGGCTCATGCCTGTAATCCTAGCTACTCAGGAGGCTGAGATCTGAGGATCACAGTTCAAAGTCAGCCCAGGCAGGAAAGTCCGTGAGATTCTTATCTCCAATAAACCACTAGAAAACCAAAAGTGGCGCTGTGGCTCAAGCGGTAGAGTGCTCACCTTGAGCTGAAGAGCACAGGGACAGTGCCCAGGCCCAGAGTTCAAGCCCCACGACCAACAAAAAATAAATAAATAAAATAAAGCTGCCAGCACAACCATTTTCACTGCAGCACTGTTTACCCTAGCCAAGATATGGAATCAACCCAGATGTCCCTTAATGAACAAACAGATTGAGAAAATGTGATATATACACAATGAATTCTACTCTTCCATCAGGAAGAATGATACTGTAACACTTGTAAGGAAATGGAAGACTTGGAAAAATTACATTTAGTGAAGCCAGACCCAAAGAAACAAGTTGCATCATTTCCCTATTTTGTGATAACTAGAATACCTATAAAATTATAAAGGTCTCTAGACATTTACACAGTGAGACCGAAGGAGGATATTCATAGGAGCAGATCACAAAGGCTCAATGGTTATGTGTATATGATCATATAAAAGAATATCTTACAAAATGACATCCAAGAATTGAAAACATGATGTTTTTGTTGTTGTTGCTGTTTTTTCTTGTTGGAAGGGTGGGGTAGGGCACAGAAAAAGTGGGACAAAGGTTAACAAATATAGCAGTGGTACTCAACTCGAAACTTTGTGGGAAATGAACAATACAGCTTGTGGGAAGGGAGGGGAGGGAAAAACTGGGAGTGTGGGATGGGGTTACATGGTTCAAAAAGAAATGTACTCATTACTGACTTATATAACTGTAACAGTACATTGCTTCTGTGATAACAATAAAATATATTTTTTAAAAAATTTAAAGAGAATTTAATAATTCTTCCAAGGATGTCACATTTTCCCTTTTTCATTATAAATTGCAGAATTTTCCTAAGTTTTTCTTATTATGAAAACCCTCAAAGTAATTTTGCAATAAATTTATACTTTTCTAAAATTGTAAAAAAAAAAAAAATCTTTAGCATACAGCACTCTAGATTTACATGATGAATTAGAAAACACTCCATACCTTTCCCCTACGCCCATTTCCTCCATCTTGATCTTCCCACTGCCAGTCAACTCCTCGTACCACTCTGGCACCTGCAAAAATTCCTCTGGCTGTTATCTTCTTAGATTTTCTACGAGATTCTAACAGAACCCTAAAAACAAAATTTTTATTTTCAAGTTAATTTTCATGTAAAAACATTAACAAAGGTGAAAAGTATTATACTTACTAAAAGAAAGATGCTATATTTCCCAAGATCACAAAAATTAAAAATTAAGTCAAAATGTAAACCTAGTCTTCAATCCTCACTGTAATTCTTCACTCCTTTATAGATGGCAAATGCAAATCCCTTTATAACTGCCATACAAACAATATAAATGAAGGCCTAAGGAAAAAATAGCACTTACTACAAGGCTGAATAGCAATTAGCACTTGACTTCAAACCTTGGAAGACAAGAGTTAGTGGCAGGACTAACTGTTGTGTGAACTGGCTAATACAAAACCATGTCAAGGGGATGCAAGTGTATCTGTTTGAGCCAATAGTTGCCAAGAACAAATCTAAGTGCTGAAAGACTTGGGGCAGGGAGGGTTGTTAATCTATAAAGTTAGAATAGTCAAAAATATAAAGTCCTTTCCATACAACTCAAATTTGACTCCATCAAACTATCTCCAAAGCACTGTATGAAATGAAATAGGGGGAAAAAAATTCACACTCAATTATCTGGGCCAGCTTTCTTTCCCCCACAACTATCCATATCTCTAGTTTTCTTTCTAATCCTTCTCAATCATATAGCCAGAGTTGTCTTTAAGTTTTAAATTTTATGTCATTGTTCTATATTCATTTTTAGGATGCTCCTATTATTCCTTAACTTTAATTGTAAGAAAAAAAAATAATATGTTCAAAATTCTTTAGTTAATAAATAGAACCATGATGTGACCTATTCTAGTTATTTCTCCATAACTCAATGTATTCTTGCTCCTGTGGATAATACATTCACATGAAGGTTCTATCACCTAAAGTGAATGAATACTTCTCTCACTGCTTTTCTTTTTGGGAGCAAGGTTTGCAAGGGAAGGCCTGGTGCCCAGGACTTGAACTCAAGGTCTTATGCTCACACTCAGTTTTTTTGCCCACAGCTAGTTCCACTATTTGAGCCATACTACCTGTCCAACCTTTTGGTTGGTTAATTGGAGATGGAGGACTTTTCTACCCAGGCTGGCTTCAAGCCATAATTCTCAGATCTCAGGTGCCCGAGTAACTAGGATTGCAGGTGTGAGCTACCAATACCCATCTCGTTGCTCTTAAGAAGCATAATACATATTTCTGTAATAGTCCAAAGTATCACATGATAATCACTAATGATCCATTATTTTCCTTTAATTAAACTCTTTCAGAATAGTGTTTTATTTATCTATACATCACAAATAATACCTGCCATATGGTCTTAACTGGTTCAATCAATGGGCCCTAGAGTTCATCTGGCAGCAATTAACAGAATAGAAGGCATAATGAAAAGAAAATAATCAGCCTCTCTGCAATGCTCTTCTACTTCCAAATGTCAAATGTTGTTAAGTCCCTGTGCTAGATAAGAATGGCCAATATTATCTTACTAAAATATGTATAGTTCCACCTTTATACAGTTCCTCTCTCAGTATTCATTAAGCCCAATCCATGCCTAGCCTGCTATTTGCCACCTCCAAAAGTGTCAATAACTATTTCCTAATTCTGTTTTTAAGTCTAAGTTTAAAAGTTTGAATATAAACAAGGAGTCACAACTAAAGAAAAACTTTCTTCTCCTACCGCTCACTTCCTGGTGTAGTAATTCTGTAAAAGCGATGCCTTAAGTGATGCTTATCTCCGTGATAGCACACTGTGCATAAGTCATAGTTTGTACACTCTGCACACTTCCATCGAATGCCAATGATTGGTTGTTGGCGGCAGGTATCACACATAGTTCCATCATGCTTGATGCCTAGTAAAACAAAGATACATGCTTACATTGCTTACAAATATTTATCTGTATAATATTCCATAGAGAAGAAATAACTGCATTTTATAAGCTAATTAATAAAGGGGGAAGTCATACCACATATTCAAGACAACAGATCTAAAATACTATGTTCAATACAAATTACAAACTAAACATGTTTTGTTTTCATTAGTAAAAATAAAACTAAAAAAATAAAAGGTAGCACTACCTTGCTGTCCATCCACTGAACCATTAGGTTCAATGAAGAGTAAGAAATGAGAATTCTTTATGTCCATGTATGTGTTCCAGACTATAAAAACTCAGAAAGCTTTGGAAGAATCTTAACAATTTTCCAGGTAAACAATAATTCCAAGAAAAAAGAAAATTTTATCCTCCTGACATCTTTGTTCTTTCCCCATAAACACTTTCATTTTACAACAGGAGTGAGGGACAATGTACCTTGTCTATTGTGATATTAATATCACTTGCTTAATAACTTAATAACTAAATTTTCATTTTTGTTTTTGTTTTTTTTGTTTTTGGTCTGGTCGTGGGGCCTGAACTCTAGGCCTACGCGCTGTCCCTCAGCTCTTCAGCTCAAGGCTAGCGCTCTACCATTTGAGCCACAGCGCCACTTCTGGCTTTTTTTCTTTTTGTTTATGTGGTGCTGAGGAATTGAACCCAGGGCCTCATGCATGCAAGACAAGCACTCTACCACTGAGCCACCTTCCCAGCCCCAATAACTAAATTTTCTAAAACAGTAGGTTGCTTGTGGTCATTCATGTCACTATCTTACAAACACACCCTGGATGGTCAAACTAAATGTTGAATAACAAGCAAGGACTATTACAATGATTCAAGTTCTGACTGTCATTAGCTACCTTTGTGCCCTTGCAAATGTCACTGTCAAAAACCCATTGTACAACTAATATGTGCTAATCAAAATCACAATTTGTACAAAAAATATTGGTACTGATTTTGGGGCTGGGAAGGTGGCTCAGTGGTAAAGTGCTTGCCTTGCATGCATGAGGCCCTGGGTTCAATTCCTAAGCAGCACGAAAGCAGAAAAAGACAGAAGTGGCGCTGTGGCTCAAGTGGCAGAGCACTAGCCTTGAGCTGAAGAGCTGAGGGACAGCGCCCAGGCCCAGAGTTCAGGCCCCATGACCAAAAAAAAAAGGTACTGATTTCAAAATAATATTGGATTTAAATGAAACAATATTAACAAGGCTAAAACTGACTAGTGGGTAAATATTCATAACAATGTATTATTTCTAATTTTCCTAAATGAGAAATTTTCCATAATTAAAATTTTCCATAATTAATCTCAGAACTTCGGCTCCCATGGGCTGGGAATGTGGCTTAGTGGTAGAGTGCTTGCCTAGCATTCATGAAGCCCTGGGTTCAATTCCTCAGTACCACATAAACAGAAAAAGTCTGAAGTGCAGCTGTGGCTCAAGTGGCAGAGTGCTAACCCTGAGCAAAAGAAGTTCAGGAACAGTGCCCAGACCCTGAGTGCAAGCCCCAGGACTGGCAAAAAAAAACTTCAGCTCCCTTTGTAGAAACCCATATGTTCAAGCAATTTGTTCTAAAACTCAAGAATGCAAGAACTGAAGTATAAAATAGTACTTTATAAAATTCTACAAGAAGCAATATACAATTGCAACTTCCTGATAAAAAATATGTATTATTCATTTTCTATATCCAGATACCCAGATTCCAAACATAGAGGGAAACAAACATAATGTGTTTACATTGAGGTGAGGAAGAAGACTACAGGAAGGAAGGAAAAAAGGAGAGGAGAAAGAAGGCAATGAGTACTAAAAGGAAAGCAAGATGTATACTCGACCGCAAAAGAATGTATAATATCCCAACACCAAGTATCTTTGATGAATAATCCTTCTGCATTCTATTATATAAATCCTTGATTGCAGAGACAGGGAAGATAGTAGACTTTGGTGTCATTCACAACTATTTTCCTACTCTTACTGGGAGCATGTAGAGCCTCAAATGTCTCTCTGTGTCTCTCTCTCTCTGTGTCTCTGTCTGTCTCTTTTTTTTCTTTTTTTTTTTTTGGGGGGGGGTCAATCTGAGGCTCCCACTCTGGGTCCAGACGCTGTCCCTGAGCTTTTGTGCCCAAGACTAGACCTCTCTACCACTTGAACCACAGCTCTACTTCCAGCTTTTTGTGGTTAACTGGAGATAGTCTCGTGGACTTTCCTGCCCAAGCTGGTTTCAAACTAGAATCCTCAGATCTCAGCCTTGTAAGTATCTAGGATTACAGCCACTGGAGCCCGGCAAATATCTCTCTTTTGTAATGTGAAGAGACTGGAAGAAAATAATGCAAAGACTGAAAAGTGCAAGTAGGACAATGGTAGTTCAAATCAGAGTAAGGATAGGAGAGAGAGCAAATCATCTTAGAGCTAGCTTAGATTTGGTGGCTATGAGCTATAATATCAGGTGTAGAAGGAATAAATGAGAAGGTATAAACATCTTTCAGGAGAAAACTACAGGTAAGCATTTGAGATATTTAGGAAGAGGCAATTAAACAGTACAATGAGCTGCAAGAAGACCAGCCATGGTGGAAAATTCCTATATTCTAAGCACTGAGGAGGCTAAAGCAGGAAGATTTTGTATTCAAAACCAGCCTAGGCTACACAACAAGATCTTGTCTGGAAAAAAAAAGGGGGTTGGGGGGCTTCACTGGCTAGATGGTGGCTCACACCTGTAATCCTAGCTACTCAAGAGGCTGAAATCTGAGGATTGTTGTTCAAAGCCAGCCAGGGCAGGAAAGTCTGTGAGACTCTTATCGCCAACAAACCACTAGGAAACCAGAAATGGTGCTGTGGCTCAAGTGGTAGAGCACTTGCCTTGAGCTGAAGAGCTCAGGGACAGCACCCAGGCCAGAGTTCAAGCCCCATGAAAAACCAAAAAAAAACCTCCATTCATCAGTACATCTGCTGAAACAATACAGAGGATATTATCAGCATAATCCCAATACAAGGATGATATGCAAATACAAGGATGATATGCAAAAACTTGTAAACCCTGGGACAGCTAGATACTGGGAGCTGACTAATCTTTTAAATTTTTCAGTGGCCACTTTTTGGTTATTAATGTGCCTAAGAAGTACATCAACAACAAACAAAACAGCCAAGAAGAGAGCCACTAACCAAAAGCAAATAACACATAAATTAGAACTGGGGATATGGTAGAGCACCAAGTACATACACTCACACGTTCCTGTGATCAATCCCCAGCACAAAACCAAATCAGAAGAAGAGTAAAGTTTCAGAGAAATGATAAACCTTTCAAATAAAGGAAGAGGAAATCAAAGTATAATGTTCAAGAAGAGGTTTCATGTCTTAGCAAGAAGATGGAAAATAATCAGACACTTAAGAGATTAAATTAATTAATTAAATTAATATCAGACATGATTTCTGGTCTACATATTTATATTGCCACATTAAATGTTAGAAATAAGGTTATGTGATTTAGTATCCTAGTTCTATAACTTACTAGTTACATAATATTTAAAATTAACTTAAGCTAGTCTATTGCCTATATTATCTACAAACTGAGAAAAGACTTCCTTTCATATGGATATTAAAATGATGAAGTGAACATATTCTGAAGTGCTTTTAAACAAAATTAAGTATCAGGAATTATACTGCATTAAATTAATTACTTTTTGAGACGAAGTTTCACTACGTATCTCAAGATGACCTCCTACTCTAGGTCCTCTTGTCTCAGACTCCTGTTGAAACTACAGGCATGGACCACTAGCCCAGCTAATTTAGTTTTAATATAAATTTGTTAAATGCACTGGTGTATTCCTCATATACTTAAATAATTTAGCAAAATCACGACACACACAAGACCAATTATGCAATCTTTATACAGAAATCAAAGTTCCCAGTGTCTTAGCATTCAATTTTTTATGTGGGAATTAAACCCATTTTAACACATGATTCACCTTCTTCATGACTATTCTCTTACTACTGTATCTCATTTTTCCCTAGAGTTGGCTGCCCAAGGGTTACACTTTTTTCTTAGTTTCTTTTGATTGTTTTCACTCCTGAAATGCCAAATAAAAATTTTATGTGCCAAGAGATGACCAACCACCATCAAATATTAATAGTGTTGTTTTCTATACTTCAGCAAATTTAAGTCTGACTATATCAATCACAAAAATTATCAGCCACAGGACCAACAGAATCACACTCTAAATAGAATGTAAAATAAAAACCATCAGTTTATAGCTAAACAACTCAAAGTTCAATATTCCCTAGTCTATGCTTCAGTCTTTTAGAATAAATATATAGCAAAAGCTAAATTGCAATTGTTACCTATTTACTCTTTCCTTCAAGGGGTATAAATGAAAATGACTTGGCTCTTTTCCTTTAATTTCAAAAAGGAAAAGTGCTCAAATAAACCACAAACTAGATTAACCAGTCTTAGTCATCCCTTAACTAAGAATCTACCATATTTTTCTTTAAATCACTATATGTAATCAATTCCATGTAACATTTATTTTTGAATAATAATTCTGAAATTCTATTGTTCTTACAGTAAACACAACTGCTGAAAATTTACAAAGTTGAAAGCTATTCTACCTCTCACAGAATAAGATTTTTAGGAAGCATCTGAAGCCTACCAATAAAGATCTTAAAGACCTGTCATGAGTTAGGCTATTAAAATGATTTTAAATTTTCATTAAACCACACTTTTTAAAGAGAAATGGTTAAGAATCATAATATATTTTACAAGTCTTTTAAAAATTCACAGATTTGAAAACTGAAATAAATGGATTATATTACTGTAAAGCTGACAATGTCAAAAATGAAGAATTGTGCCAGATTGTACTTCCAATCAGGGCAGCGCTCTTACTAGGACCACAGTGGAGTATGATCTACTTCCTTCCACACTGCATTTGGGTAGCCATTTATAATTGTTTCAAACTGTTACAGAGGAAGTAACAGTAGCAAACTTCTAAAGATAAGGCA